TTAATCATTCATTCGTTCATTCATTCATTCATAAACGGCGAGGGGAAACCTTCGCCGGGGGGGGGGGGGGGCGTCCCTCCCATTCAATACTTGATCGCGTTCGTTAGCTCATGGCGAGGGGACCCCCCTTCTTCAAGGGACGGCGTCGGCGGCGGCGGCCCCCCCCCCCCCGCGGCTCCGCTGAGCGTGTCCGAGGTGGAGCGGCGGCGCGCGGGGGCGGGCGGAGGCAGGCCGAGGGCGATGGGCGCGGCGGCGGCGGGCGCGGGCGTGTTGCGGATCGAGATCCTCATCTTCGGCTTGAAGTCCTCCTCCCCGTCGCCCTCGCTGGCCGACCCCGCCTCCTCGTGGTCCGAGAAGCCTGCGCGTGGTGGGTTCGGGTACCGTGGGGGTAGGGGAGGGTGGGTTCGGGTACCGTGGGGGAGGGGACCTGCGCGTGGCGAGTGCGCCGACATTCAGGCGGGAGTACGGTCTCGAGCCGTGTGGCCGTGGCACCGTGGAGACACACTACGAATACAGTTGAAGACAGCCGAGCACGGCTGAAGAGAGCGGAGTGCGTGCCCTCTCGAGCGTAGGCCGGTTGGAAGACAAGAATGCGTCTTCCGCCTTCTAGCAGCCCGAGATATGGGGAGATATGGGGAGATATGGGGAGATATGGGGAGATGTGGGGAGATGTGGGGAGATATTCCGGTTCTAGCCGGACAGCCTCGCTTGCGGTCGTCCATGAAGCCGCCCTCCTCCTCCTCCTCCGCCGCTGCCGCGCGGGCGTGGGTCGCGCCGGACGCCGGCGAGAGGCGCCGTGCAATCAGGACGAGCATGTCGCGCCCGCGCCGCGAGTCTGCCGACAGGTCGACAGGCTCGCTCCCCTCCGGCAGCACCTGCGGTCCCATCAAAGAGCTGCTGATGGGACGCTGGCTGGGCTGGAGTCTCGAGCCCACACCGGCCTGACCATTGGTGAGCTGGTCATCGTCGCGTCGGTGCTCTCAGCAACATCAGGGCGTCTCTGTGCGGCACAAGGGATGGACCACCACGCGTGTGTGCATACCCCGCGCATCGGCGTGCCCGCACCTCGAAGCGGACGTCATCGAACGGGTCCATTGCCAGGCTGAGCCCCTGCGAGAACTCCGCCTTGAGCAGCGTCTGGTCGCTCCCCACCCGCCCCTTCTTGCGAACCTTGAGCTTGTCCCGCGACAGCACAACCACCCTGCCCTCGCCCCCGCCGCCGCGCACGCTGAAGCTCGCCTCGCCGCTCCGCTTGCCCAGCAGCGAGCCAAGTTGCTTGTTTAGCTCCGCCATGAAGCCTGCGTCTGCCCCAACCGGCTGCGTGTCCACTGTCACCGGGTCGCCGCCCACGACTGAGGAGAAGGCGACACGCAACCGCAACTCAAAGTCGTCCGCCGTGGGAGTGTACGACAGTCCATCGGCACCAGAGATTGGCTCCTCCCTCCCGCCTCGAAGCCTGCAGCACGAATACGCCGACGTCAGGGAGTGACCACGGTGTCGTGCCGAGTATTCAGAGCACGGAACTCAGGGGCTGCGAGCGCAACGAGCACAGCTGAACTGGCCTCTCGAGTGCCCCTCGGAGTGCAAAGTATCTGTATTCCGCATCTAGGCCTCGAGGGCGTGAGCGAGGTGATCACACGCTACCGAGAAACGTCCGTTCGCTACACTGATGACTCTATGACTGCCAACCCTGTCGATCGCACACACAACGCCTCGTGTGTCTGCCCCGTGTGCTCCGCGTGTGCGTGTGCCCCCATTGCTAGGACGTGTGTAAGACTGTCTGACTGGCTGACCGACTGCATCTAGGCCTCGGAGCCTGTACCAGCTCACCTCGCCCTTGCTCGGCCCTCCGACAAACTCTGCGCTGGCCTACAGGGACAGGCAAGGGAAGGAGCACTTCTCAGGTGCACTGCTCCACATACACACACACACACACACACACACACACACACACACACACACACACACACACACACACACACACACACACACACACACACACACAAGGACCGGTATAATACAACGGCCCCACGGCATCAGAGTGCAAGGCCCGGTGCGCGGTGTGGGTGGGTGAGCGGACGCTGCACCTGCAGAGTCCCGCCGAGCACGGGCGCGCCTCCGGGATGTCCGCCCGAGACCTGACGCGAGTGTTGAGCGTCCGTCAGTCAGTGCCCTGGCCACGACGGGGCTCACGCACTCGCGGGCACACGAGGCGCAGGGCCTTTTGCAACGGTCCCTCACGGCCAGAGCTGACTCGGAGCTGTCTCGGAAGCTCACCTGCCGCACCGCGGCGCCCGAGACGTACTCGATCCCTTCGTCGTCCGACATCTCCGGCTCGATGACGGCGCGGCGCGCCTCGGGCACGTACGCGACGCGCGGCTGCGCGGCCAAAGCGACAGCTGGAGGCGCGGCGGGCGGCGGCGCACGCTGCGGTGCGGCGGGCGGTGCGGCGGGCGGTGCGGCGGGCGGTGCGGCGGCGAGCGGCGTCGGTGTGGGCCGCGGCGGCTTGAGCGCGTGCGCGCCACCGCCTCCTCCGCCATTGTTCTGCGCCGCCGCCGCCTGCAGCGCCTCCAGCACGCCGCCCTGCGTCGCTGCGGCGTCGAGGAGGCAGGCGGCGGCGGCCTGCAGCGTCTGCGCCTCGCCGGAGATGCGGAGCAGGGCCTCCTCCAGCGCGGCCCGCTGCAGCTCGACGCGCGCGATGGCGGAGGCCAGCTGGCTGGACAGCGCGGCGAGATTCATCGGACCGAAGGCGCCGCCGCCGCAAAGGAGTGGCCTTTTAGAAAAAAGTATTGACGCCACAAGCTAGGGGTCAGGGCTCTCTAGCCCGTAGCCCGATCCCGATCATCCGGCCCGCTGGGTGCGCTTCTAAGCTCCCCGGCCCTGGATGTGAGGCTGCCGACTGCACTCCAAGTGCTCCAAGTGCCACTGGTCCCTCTCTCTCTCTCTCTCTCTCTCTCTCCCTCTCGAGGTTCTCGAGGTGGATATCCTTTGAAGCCGCTCTCTCGCACAGCACACAGGTTCGACACAGGTACCAAAAGAGGCACAGCCGGCGACGGACCCTCAAAAGGCGCCGTGGTCAGATGAATAGTACCCTTTGGGCGGGCTCCCAGGGCTTGGAGGTCTTTTTAGTTGCAACCATGATGATAGGCAAGGCGTTCAGGAAAGTGAAGAAATAAGAAGACGAGGACATGGATCATGGTTCGACCTCGCGTGCGAGATGTGTGTCGCGACCCCTCGTCGCCGGACACCTCCCGACACGGTGTGAAGAACACAACTCTCTCGACCGCTACTACGCCGCCGCTCTTCTCACTGCGCAGCTCACGGCTCTCCCTCCTGTTCCTCCTCCTCCTCCTTCGCCGCCTCCTCCGCCTTCTTCGCCGCCTCCTCCGCCCGCTTTCAAAACTCCCTCGCACGACACTAATGGGGAAGGCACGGGACTGGCGCGGCCGCACTGGCACTAACACACTGTGTGAGCTCTGTGTCTTGATTTGCCAACAATATACCTAATGCTAAAACACAGGTACACCACGGGAGCCGCCTAAGCGACTCCCGCGAGGACGGCGAGGCACTTAGCTCCGTGCACTCGACCGCCCTCGCCGCAGGCAAGCTCATTCACGACCTGCTCTGCGATGGCCGTGTGAAGACGAGGACGAGGACAGCGACAGCGGCGACACACCCCTCAAGCTACAGATCAACCTCACGACGGAGGTGGAGAGGGAGGTGGACCTCTTCTTGGAGTCGGAGGAGGAGCAGTTCACCTTCGAGGAGCTCTACTGCACGCTGCCCCCGTGGGCGCGCGGCCGGCAGAAGGAGGTGCTGGCCGCGCTCAAGCGGCTCGTCAACGGCTACAGTGTGTCGCCGGCGAAGCTAATCATGGACGACGACGACGACCAGAGCGTGGACATGGACGAGCTCGTGTTCCGACCCAATCCTGAGCGCGGTCTCGAGCTCAGCAACTCGGACGACGTCACGAGGAGTGATTAGACGGGGAGAGGTCGCTTGGTGTCTCTAGTATTTCGAGATACTAATTTATTCACAGCTGCGGCGAGCGTGTGCGGTGTGACCCTCGAGCCAACCCGACCGACCCCCCCCTCGGTCTGCGCTCCGACCGACCGGACCCCCCCTGCGGTTTGCGGTCTTCCGCGGCCGCCGACCGACACGGCGGGTGCACGTTGAGAGCACACGACGCGGCACTCGAAAGACGGGCGCCGCCGCCTTCCAGGTTGTGGCCCCTCCGCCTCCGCCCCCGCGCCGCCACCGACCACCTCACCCACCGGCCTGCCAACATCACCGCCCGCCATGCCATCTCCAACCCCCTCCCGCGGTCCCGCCGCGACCTCGCCTCTCCGCTGCCGACGTCTTGTGTGCGTGTGCCGGCACGCACCTGCCCCAATCAGGGCCGCCCGCGCTTCCTGCGCCGCACGGTTGCCGAGCATGCTGCCCTCCGACTCCCCCGATGCCACGCCCCCACCCGCCACCCGTTATTTTGCCCCTGCCCCCTCCACCCCTACCCGACGCCCGCGCGCGCGCGCTGAAGTCCCCGAGGAAGCGCGCACCGAGCTGTGCAGAGCGTAAGGACATCCCCCAAAGCCGGCAAGCACTCCCAATAGTTGAACAAAAAGAAATCCCCGGGCTTGGCTGACCGACCCCGCGGAACACGGTCGAGCGCCACCTTGTTTGAGACAATGAAGCGGCCCAACGAGGACACCCCGGACCGCTCTGCGCTTGTTGCGGGCGCCGGCCAAGCCGCTCTTCTCGTCCCATCCACACCCTCCGGTCTGCGCAAAGCCCGATGGGTGCAACGCGCCGATTGACACGATGGCGGAGACCGTCCGAGCCATCATCGGAGCGTCCTTGCCCCCAAACCTCGTGTGCCTCACCTACTACTCCACGTGTGGTGTCATTGAGGGCCCTGTGGCCTGCATCGCCACAGCCGTCGCAGCACTCGTCCAGCACCCCGTCACGGGCATCCCCAAGTTCCTGCGCGACCTCTCCCGCTGCCTCGTGGGCTCGGGCTTCACGCTCGACGATCACGATCCTGAGACGGGAGAGCCTCTCATGATGGGCCGCTGAGGCGCCCGTGAGCGATCACCGATTCCAAGAGCGAGCCCGTCTACCCCCCAGAGGAGGTTTAACGTTGAGGCCGTATCTCTGAGCGGACGCGTTCGCGTAAAGGCTAAAGCCAGTAGTCAGTGGCTCGTGTGCTAGTTGGGATGAGCGGCGTACGAGACGCCAGACACGCAACGCGGTCGGTGTCAGTCTCTATGGGAATGGCAAGAGGTTCTTTTGCGGAGACAGGTGTGTCGACACAGTCGCGAGTCGGCATGAGGATGAGCGCATATGAGCCATGCGACTGATCTCTGATGACACCGCGCACACTGCAAAAGCGGTGCCCCTGGTGACGTGGTGAGGACCTCTCATGGCAACCATCAACAAACGTCACGCCTCTGCCAAGCGACCCACTGTCAGCACAGGTTGCGAGTGGCCTGACTTGTGCCTCGGCGCTTCAGTCGAGCGACGCGCTCGCTGGAGATTGGCGCCAGGCCGTCGCCGCCGCCACGCGCGGTTGCGCCGTGGCGACAGCCCCGGCCTCCCGAGGGGCACCGTCCAGTGGTAGCGGCACGAGCATCGACAACTGGGCGCGCAACTGCTCGGCATGCGCGACGAGCGCCTACTCAGAGCGACGGGCATGGTGAGACTGTGAGATTGCGGCAGTCCGCACGCGTTAACTGCGTCGGCTTGGTTGTGCGCTGAGAGCTGCTCGGCCACCGCTCGTGCACGCGCAGCCTCCGAGCGCGCCGCGTGCTGCTCCGCCACGGCCGCCGCCGCTGCCGCGGCGTGCTCGATCGCGGATCGCTCCTGTGCCGCCGCCTCGCGGCGAGCCGCCTACGCACGAGCGTGAGCGCGAGGCGAGACGTTGGGCAATGTTCGAAGAGGGGCCGGGGGCGGCAGTCGGGCCTGCGCTTCGGCACGCGCCGCGTGCAGCTCCGCCTCATCTCGCCGCGCCTGCGCCGCGTACGCGTCCGCAACCTCCTCCCACCTGTTCAAACGCGTAGCAGTATCAACGATGGTCGATCCGCAAACGGCCGTCCGTCGATTCTACCCACCGGCTGAGCTCCGTCTCTGCGCCAGCACGGAGGGCCTCGGCGTGCGCCCTCGCCGCAGCCGTCTCGTCGGCAAACGCAGACGCAGACGCCTCCTGCGCGCGGCCCTCCTATTGGTGATGGCAGGGTGAAGGAGCGCGAGGCTCGGCGAGAGAGAGTAAGAACAGTAGAGGCGAGGGGAGGAGAGCCTGGAGCGCGCTCCAGAGCATGGAGTCCTTGACGCGCACGAGCGACTCGAGCTCCTCGGCGCGCTGCAGCCGTGCGGCACGCGCCGCCGCCTCGCGCGGCAGGTCGTCGAACGGCACGCGCTCGATGGCGGGCACTTGCTTGGCGGCGAGGCGGGCCGCCCGCGCCTAGGGGCCGCACGCGGCAGGGCTTGGCTGGAGGGCGCTCTTCCTGAAGCTGCGACTATGGTGGGAGTGGCAAAGGTCTCCAGTGCGTCTGGCGTCTAGCTATATATCGCCTGCAGCTCCGGTTGCCGCTGGAGAAGTGCGCGCGCGGCGGCGATGGCCTCGGCGTCCGAGGCGCCGGCGCCATGAGCATAGTCGGCAGGGAGCGCTGCGGCTTGACTCGCTGCGAGGGCGGCGGCGGGCGCGGCGGCGGCGACAGATGCATTCATTGCAGGGCCCTGGCCGTCGGGGGGCGTAGCGGCGGCCGTGGCCGCGGAGGCGGCGGCGGCGGCGGCGGCGGCAGCTGCAGCAATGGTTGGGTCCTCCACGCCAGCGGCGCCCGGTGGCAATGGCGGCTGTGGTTGTGCGGGTTGCTGCGGCTGCTGCACTTGCCGACGTGCGTCCAGCATTCCACTATGGACGAACGTCGAAGTTTGCTCTCAGAGACGGTGGCGGAGCCGCGGCTGAAAAAGGCTAGGAGGGGAGGTCGGGCCCTGCGCCCGTCGGATAATCATCGGAAGGCGGATAAGAGGAAGAACTCGGAGGAGAGGGGAGCCTCCTCCGGAGTGAGGATGAGGACCCCGCGCGAAGGGGCCCTGAGCGGTGACGGCGTGTGAGAGTGCGTGTCGTGTTCATGTCCGGTGTTCATTATAGGTTAGCTCCGAACAGAGGGGGCGGTCTGCTGCTAGGGGAAACCTGGAGCGCGGAGCTAACCCTCGGAGACCCGTGTTTACTTTAAGGCCCTTTCCCTGCGAACGCGCACCCCCGGGGCTAGGGCTCTCTAGCCCGTAACCCGACACCGATCATTCGGCCCGCTGGGTGCGCTTCTTAGGACTTAGCTCCCCGGCCCTGGATGTGAGGTTGATAACTGCACTCCAAGTGCTCCAAGTGCTCTCCGACGTCGTGCCGAGCGAAACCTTTTCCTTCGAAGCCCGGCGACGTAGCCGGGCGAGCGGAGTAGGGCAGTCCTAGAGAGCACCTTGAGGCCATTCAATAGAGCCCGTACT